TATCCAGAACAGACTTCACTAGATTCCAGCACAATATATTCTTTAAGCCTATAACTATTGTTAATATAGCTTTATTTGTTTTAAATTTTTAAAACTTACTGCAAGGAGATATTTTGACAAAAGCAGAAAAACATTTCGAGGCATTGGAGGACACCTCCCTTCCTCTGCCCATTTGGTATCAAGAAGAGTTAACTAATCAATGGAAATCTAGGAAACTAATCTAACAGGGAAAGGGGTATGCTTGTATTTCTCCAGATGGATCCAACGAACTCACATGGCTTCCTCTTCAGAATATTCAACCTAAGGGGGCCCCCAGCATTCAAACTAGAGATGAAACAACAAAAACCCCAAAAGGAAGAAATTCCAGTACAAGCCATGGCAGCTTTAAAAATTTCTGAAGAACGCTGCACTCGACACTATCGACCTTATGATCTCCCTACTTGGGGACAAATAAAAAACCCTTACTAATCAAGCTGAAAATTTGATTTCTCAACAGGGAATGCCTCGGAATCCTGAAAATATTTTTTGTCGTTATGCTTGCTTTGCTTGCTTTTGATTCCCCTGCTCAGGCTGACTTGATTGATCATACTTATTGGGCTTATATACCTAACCGCCTCCCCCCCCCCACCCTTTTATTGTAGGTTGTAGAATGGACAGATATAAGACCAATCGTATCCACTAATGACTCAACACATATGCCCCCTCCTTAGAACTTGGAGGGGCCCTCTCATCCTGAGGAAAAAGGAAGACTAATGAACATTTCTCTAGGCTATGAAGTCCTTCCTTTATGCATGGGCTCAACAAAATTATGTACTAATGTTAGTCGACAAACATGGGCTTTCGTCCTGCCTCCAAAAAGGAAATTCCATACATTGCTTGGACTGTTTACTGCCCTGTCGTTTTATGAAAACCATGTCAATACTACCAAAACTCTAGGAAAAGGACAAATTTAGAATGTAAGGGGTTTACTTATAAAGACTTTAAATATACTCCTGTTTATTGAGATAATTGTCAAGCTAAATCAGGGAAAATTAATGTTTGTGGCCAATTACACCACTATTGATTGGGAACCCCATGGTATATGGTTATCTAACTGCTAAGATGATATTAACAGCACTGTGTGTGACTATGCTGACTAGCATAGAAGGTTACTAACGCTACAATGGAGCATTACCATGACAAAGGACTTCTTGGGTTGCTTGATGGTGATATGCCCCCCCATCCCTGAATCATCCTCAATAAACAGATTGGGCCTAAACAATGGGACATCTGGAAATTTGCTGTGAGCACCGAAGAATTTGGGACTTGGACTGGACATTTCACAGGAACCAATCGTAGTCATAGTAACTATTTCTTTTGTTATAATCAATCATATTTCATACAAGCTTGTGTTCCCCCTCCTTTTGTTCTAGCTATAGGGAGTTTACAATTCAATAAGACTTTACGTTCTGTAACTTGTATAAATTGCAAATTATACACTTGTCTTAACTCTTCTGTTTCCTTAAGAAATGAACCCCTTTTGATTCTTCGATCTTGACATAGTCTGTGGTTACCAATAAATTTCCAGCGGCCCTTGGAAGAAGGTCCCATGGCTGGACTTGCTTCCTGGTTACTTACTAAACTGCTCTGGCAATCTAAACAATTCATTGGATGGCTGATTCTTGGCATCTTGGGGGTTAATAGCTATTTGTACCACTGCTGCTATTGCTGGTGTTGCTTTACAAACCTCAATTCAAACCCATAATTTTATCCAAACTTGGACTAAAGATGCTCGTACTATATGGGCCACTCAGGCTCAGATAGATGAGGATATTCAAGGTGAAATACAAGAACTAAAAACACCCATCAAATGGGTTGGAGATCAATTAATAGATGTATAAAAACAGGTGATACTAAAATGTGATTGGAATTCTACTCAATTTTGTGTTACTCCTATTCAATTCAATCATAGTGCCTACAACTGGAAAGAAACAAAATTTCATTTACAAAACATACATGATAATGCCTCTCTGAATTTACAATTACTAAAAAAAAAAAAAAAAAAAGATCTTTGAAACCTTTTCTAAAAATCTGCCCTCTTCCACTAACTTGAAAACTTTAGCTGAGCAACTAGCTGATCAATTATCTGGGCTAGACCCACTCAGATGGTTTCAGAACATTACTTACAGCATCGGGTCTGGAACTGTAACTTTGGTGATTGTCTTGACAATTATATTTGTTGTTTATCATTGCCTTTATGCAAAAATTGTTAAAAGTAAACAAACTCAAATGGTCAGGAACCTTTTTACAAATATAATAAGTAAATAAGGGGGAATTGTCAGGGAATGTTTAACAGGTGGATTCCTACATGCTGTTTCTCATAAATCCTATGTTCCTTATCAGTTTCTGGCAAAATGAGTGGAATGGCACACCGCTCCCAGGACTGAGGTCATAGGATGAGACATGCCTAAATCTCCTTCAGTAAACATTCTTCTTATGACAAAACTGCTTAATCTCGATCCTCTTTCTTGAGATACGGATTGTCTCCTGACCTTATGAACATTGTTAATCCCTTGTTCCCTTGGTAATGGTTGCTGTACATTTGGTTTTCTGATCTTTATCATTGTCAAAAGAAATTCCTTGTAAAACATCATATATATACTCACAGAAATATCATCAAAGCACCTTTGCGCCATCGGAGCTTGGGTCCCCGTCTCTCTCTCTCTCTCCCTCCCACTAATTCTCTGGAGCGTGGAAACCTGTCAAGCTCATTCTTCTGCCCAGGCTTTCAAGACCCCATCAAGAGGGCGCTCTGTGCCTTTGTGAGCAGTGCAAGCCCTGTTCTAAGGTTTTATTGGTTCTCTGCATAAACAAGGGAATATTAGCTTCTTTCTCTCACTCACTTTCTTATTGTTGACTCCGGACCACTGGGTTCCGGTCCATTAAAGGACCACAACACTCATCCAACATTTTCCCCCCACACAACTCTATTAAAAAGTGATTTCTTTTATGTTCCTTTCCTGATAGCCAGGAGAGCTTGCAAGAACATGCATGTTTGTGTACAGAACAGGCTGACCTGGGTCTTATGTCTATACAGGAAAGCATATTCTTATGATTTAGTTTTGATCATGATAGTTGAAGGAATTGCTTTGTGTATGTGAGATAAATAGTGGGTGATACTGCCAATTCACTGCTCATTCTGTTTCTGACAACATTTAGAATGGATGCTAAGTTTTATTTAGAACAATGGAAAAAGTAATAGCTGTAGGCATCATCTGAAATTTTCAAGTAGGATGAGTGAGATAATTCAATAAGTAAAAATAAAAACAGGTTCATCAATCCTTTACCTCAATGAACAAATCACCTTATATACTTACACTGATATTCCATACTTTAATGAGTATACATACAGCTTAAAAAGAAATGGCATGTGTAATAATACAAAATATCATTTAAAATTTGTTTAATTATACGCAACGTCATCTCTGATTCATATTCAGTAATATGACTCTGACTAAGTCATAACATGGCTGAAGATCATATTAAGTCAATTGATTTATTTCAGTTTCTGTTTCTGTGTAGACTACAGTGGCAGATCTGAATTTGATAATCAGCTTTGCTAATGACTATGGTACAGAATGTGTACATAGAGTCAGATAAGATAATAGAATCCTATTTAGAAGAATAAAACCCAATGACCTTTTATAAAACAGACTGTTATGTTGAGGTCTACATTATCAGGAACACCAGTTCAGGCCAGTGATATAAAAAGGAATGATGGACCCAGAAGTGAAAAATTGTAGTCTTAGGTTTTTCCTCTCCCATAATGTTATAAAAATCAACTCAGTAGTTTAGTTTTTTTTCTGATAGAGTGGTAATTCATGACTATTCTTTTGGTAAAAATAAGATGCATCACCTGGGATGGTATTTGTCATTTGAGAAGAAATCGTTCTTAATAAATCCAAGCACTTTCATGAGATAAATGAGAATTTCCAACTTTTTGATATCAAAGCTTTGGGATGAAGTAGGAAAAATAGGAAGAAAGAACAAGAAGGAAAGCAAAATGGTTGGACATCTGACAGAGAAGAGTAATTAAGTGAGTAATTAAATTGTGTAGCATAGTTGAAAAAAAATGAGAATTCCAGGAAATAAATAACAGGGCAGTTTGTACTTCCAAAGTCAGATTAAAAAATCACAACTACTGACTCTGAGACTTTGAGATCTGCAATCTTGGGCACTTCTCCAAATCCAGAATAATTGGCCTTTTTAGACTCGCCATCACAAAGAATCTTTTCAGAGCCCCCTTTATGTCTTTGTTTCTCAGACTGTAGATAAAGGGGTTCAGCATGGGTGTGACCACAGTGTACATCACCGAGGCTGTTGCACTTGAGTGTGAGCTGTGGGTAGCAGCAGAACTAAGATATACTCCTAGGCTCGTACAGAAGAATAAGGAGACAACTGAGAGGTGAGATGCACAGGTAGAAAATGCTTTATACTTCCCCTGAGCTGATGAGATTCTATATATACAGGAAACTATCTTTGAGTAAGAATAAAGGATACCAGCCAGGGGACCACCACCCAGAAGCACAACTGTAAGATACATTACCATATTATTAAGAAAGGTGTCAGAACAGGCAAGTTGGGTTATCTGACTGAGGTCACAAAAAAAGTCAGGGATTTCCACAACAGTGCAAAAAGAAAGCTGTAACAAAATTAAACTTTGTAACAAGGAATTCAGGGCACTGATGGTCCAGGACACCAGAACCAGCAGAAAGCAGAGCCGAGGGTTCATAATGACCATGTAGTGCAGGGGGTGACAGATGGCCACAAAGCGGTCATAGGCCATCACTGTGAGGAGGAAGATGTCCAATAATGCAGAGAGTAGGAAAAAATAAATTTGTGTGATGCAACCTTCATAGGTGATAACTTGGCTCTGTGTTTGTATGTTCCACAACATCTTTGGGATGGTGGTAGAGGTGAAACAGATGTCTACAAAGGACAGATTGGAGAGGAAGAAGTACATGGGTGTGTGTAGGTGGGCATCTGAGCTGACTGCCAGGATGATGAGCAGGTTTCCAAGCACAGTGATCAGGTACATGGAAAGAAAAAGCCCAAATATGAGGGGCTGAAGTTCTGGTTCCTCTGAGAATCCCAGAAGAAGAAATTCTGAAATTTCTGTATTATTCCCCAATTCCATGTAGTAGAGGTGACTACCTGGAAACAAAAAAACAAATGACATGACTAGTTTTATCTGAAATTGGCATTGTAACAATGTTGAAATTCTACAATTTTGCATTCAAAAATTAAAATCTGTAATTTTTGTATGAAAATTTCTCCTTCAAGAGATCCCCTGTGCCATCTCTGAGTACCAACTCCTGGCCCATATCCAGCCTCCTCCCCAAATGGTCATGTATTGGGGAGTTTAGATGAGAAATTCTGCCATGTTTTTGGAGAATATAAATTGAGGACTGACCTACTTCTAGGTAAAGAGCATACTGGACTGCGAGATAGTTGCTATGAAGAAAGAGATCTAGTATGAAGAAGAAAGTTAATGGGGGTATTATGCTTTATTTTCTTGGGCTCCAAAATCACTGTGGATGGTGACTGCACCATGGAATTAAAGGATGCTTCCTCCTTGGAAGAAAAGCTATGACAAACTTAGATAGCATATTATAAAGCAGAGACATCACTTTGCTGACAAAGGTCCTTACAAAGGTCTTATAGTCAAAACTATGGTTTCTCCAGTAGTCATATACAGATGTGAGAGCTGGACCATAAAGAAGGCTGAAGGCCAAAGAATTGATTCTTTTGAACTGTGGTGTTGGAGAAGACCCTTGAGAGTCCCTTGGACCACAAGATCAAAGCAGTCAATCCTAAAGGAAGTCAGCCCTGAATATTCATTGGAAGGACTGATGCTGAAGCTGAAGCTCCAATCCTTTGGCTATCTGATGCAAAGAGCTGATTCTGAAAAAAAAAAAAAAAAAAAAAACAAAAAACAAACCCTGATGCTGGGAAAGATTGAGGGCACGAGGAGGAGAGGGCCACAGAAGATGAGATGGTTGGATGGCATCACCTGACTCAATGGACATGAGTTTGAGCAGACTTTAGGAAATGGGGACGTACAGGGAAGCCTGGTGTTCTGCAGTCCATGGGGTTGCAGAGAGTAGGACGTGTCTGAGTGAACAACAAAAACAATGTTTTATGGAGTGTTCAGGTAGTCTGCCAAATATCTGAACAGAGACCTCATGGAAGTGAGGGCCAGAGATGTGAGGTTATCTGAAGGAAATGTGTGTGGTGGACAGAGATTACCCCAAGGTGAAAGGACCTGAAAAGGTATTTGTTTCAGAAGATCAAGTTTGAAAGGAAGTGTTTGTGTCCATGGGAAAGTTCATGTGGTTGAGTGATGAGAAATAATATCAGAAAATTTGGAGGTACCAAGAGGCCTCCTTGCAATGACCAGGCTATTCTCAACCTCAAGCACACAATTAGGAAAACAATGCCACAAACCAAGCTGTCAACATTAGATTATCTTTCCTCCCTAAGTGTGGTAATAGTACCTAAAGTCCAGTACTATTTTTGCAGAGTCAGCTATTTGCACCAGATATCCAAAGAACTGGAGCTTCAGCTTCAAGGGTATCTGGGCTACGGAGAACACTTTGGGAACAGATAACTGCGTAGATGTCTCTCTCCTCTTGAGTCCCCCTTTTTCTCCTGCTCACCTCTATCTCCTTCCTCCCTCTCCTATTCTTCATGTAACTCTGTGAACCTCTCTGGTTGTCTCTCATGGTGGAGAATCTTTTCACCATTAACCTAGAAGTTTTATTATCAGTGCTGTATAGTTGGAGAAGTCTTGAGACTATTGGAAGAATAAAACTGAAATCCAGAGGCAGGAGACTTAAGCCCAAAACCTGAGAAAATCAGAAAACTCCTGACTACATGGAACATTAAGGAATAAGAGACCAACCAAAAGCCTCCATACCTACACCAAAACCAACCACCACCCAAGAGCCAATAAGCTCCAAAACAAGCCATACCATGCAGATTCTTTAGCAATGCAGGAACATAGACCTGAGTGTCAACATACAGGCTGTCCAAAGTCACACCTAACACATAGACCCATCACAAAACTCATTACTGGACACTCCATTGCACTCCAGAGAGAAGAAATCCAATTCCACACACCAGAACGCTGACACAAGCTTCCCTAACCAGGAAACCTTGACAAACCAATCGTCAAACCCCACCCACTGGGTGAAACCTCCACAATAAAAAGGAACCACAGACCACCAGAATACAGAAAGCCCACTCCAGACACAGCAATCTAAACAAGATGAAAAGGCAGAGAAATACCCAACAGGTAAAGGAACATGAAAAATGCCCACCAAGTCAAACAAAAGAGGAGGAGATAGGGAATCTGCCTGAAAAAGAATTTAGAATAAAGATAATAAAAATGATCCAAAAATCTTGAAAACAAAATGGAGTTACAAATAAATAGCCTGGAGACAAAGATTGAGAAGATGCAAGAAATGTTTAACAAGTACCTAGAAGAAATAAAAAAGAGTCAATTAAAAATGAATAATGCAATAAATGAGATCAAAAACACTCTGGAGGGAACCATGAGTAGAATAACAGAGACAGAAGATAGGATAAGTGAGGTACAAGATAAAATGGTGTAAATAAATGAAGCAGAGAGGAAAAAACAAAAAAGAATGAAAAGAAATGAGGACAACCTCAGGGATCTCTGGGACAATGTGAAACGCCCCAACATTCGAATCATAGGAGTCCCAGAAGAAGAAGAGAAAAAGAAAGGCCATGAGAAAATACTCAAGGAGGTAATAGCTGAAAACTTCCCTAAAATGGGGAAGGAAATAGCCACCCAAGTCCAAGAAACCCAGAAAGTCCCAAACAGGATAAACCCAAGGCAAAACACCCCAAGACACATATTAATCAAATTAACAAAGATCAAACACAAAGAACAAATATTAAAAGCAGCAAGGGAGAAACAACAAATAACACACAAAGGGATTCCCCTAAGGATAACAGCTGATCTATCAATAGAAACCCTTCAGGCCAGAAGGGAATGGCAGGACATACTTAGAGTAATGAAAGAGAATAACCTACAACCTAGATTACTGTGCCCAGCAAGGATCTCATTCAGATATGAAGGAGAACTCAAAAGCTTTACAGACAAGCAAAAGCTGAGAGAATTCAGCACCACCAAACCAGCTCTTCAACAAATGCTAAAGGATCTTCTCTAGACAGGAAACACAGAAAGGTTGTATAAACATGAAACCAAACAACAAAGTAAATGGCAATGGGACCATACCTATCAATAACTACCTAAAATGTAAATGGGTTGAATGCCCCAACCAAAAGACAAAGGCTGGCTGAATGGATACAGAAACAAGACCCCTATATATGCTGTCTACAAGAGACCCACCTCAAAACAAGGGAAACATACAGACTAAAAGTGAAGGGCTGGAAAAAAATATTCCATGCAAACGGAGACCAAAAGAAAGCAGGAGTTGCAATACTCATATCAGATAAAATAGACTTTCAAATAAAGGCTGTGAAAAGAGACAAAGAAGGACACTACATAATGATCAAAGGATCAATCCAAGGAGAAGATATAACAATTATAAATATATATGCACCCAACATAGGAGCACCACAATATGTAAGGCAAACGCTAATGAGTATGAAAGAGGAAATTAATAGTAACACAATAGTAGTGGGAGACTTTAATACCCCACTCACAACTATGGATAGATCAACTAAACAGAAAATTAACAAGGAAACACAAACTTTAAAGGACACAATGGACCAGCTAGACCTTATTGACATCTATAGGACGTTTCACCCCAAAACAATCAACTTCACCTTTTTCTCAAGTGCACACGGAACCTTCTCCAGAATAGATCACATCCTGGGCCATAAATCTAGTCTTGGTAACTTCAAAAAAATTGAAATCATTCCAGTCATCTTTTCTGACCACAGTGCAGTAAGATTAGATCTCAATTACAGGAAAAAAATTATTAAAAATTCAAACATATGGAGGCTAAACAACACACTTCTGAATAACCAACAAATCATAGAAGAAATCAAAAAAGAAATAAAAATTTACATATAAATGAATGAAAATGAAAACACAACAACCCAAAACCTAAGGGACACTGTAAAAGGAATGTTAAGGGGAAGATTCACAGCATTCCAGGCCTACCTCAAGAAACAAGAAAAAAGCCAAATAAATAAGCTAACTCTACACCTAACACAACTAGAGAAGGAAGAAATGAAGAACCCCAGGGTTAGTAGAAGGAAAGAAATCTTTAAAATTAGGGCAGAAATAAATGCAAAAGAAACTAAAGAGACCATAGCAAAAATCAACAAAGCTAAAAGCTGGTTTTTTGAAAAAATAAACAAAATTGACAAACCATTAGCAAGACTCATTAAGAAACAAAGGGAGAAGAACCAAATTAACAAAATTAGAAACGAAAATGGAAAGATCACAACAGACAACACTGACATACAAAGGATCATAAGAGACTACTACCAGCAGCTCTATGCCAATAAAATGGACAACTTGGAAGAAATGGAAAAATTCTTAGAGAAGTATAACTTTCCAAAACTGAACCAGGAAGAAATAGACGATCTTAATAGAGCCATCACAAGCAAGGAAATCAAAACTGTAATCAGAAATCTTCCAGCAAACAAAAGCCCAGGACCAGATGGCTTCACAGCTGAATTCTACCAAAAATTTAGAGAAGAGCTAACACCTATCTTACTCAAACTCTTCCAGAAAATTGCAGAAGAAGACAAACTTCCAAACTTATTCTATGAGGCCACCATCACCCTAATTCCAAAACCAGACAAAGATGCCACAAAAAAAGAAAACTACAGGCCAATATCACTGATGAACATAGATGCAAAAATTCTTAACAGAATTCTAGCAAATAGAATCCAACAATATATTTAAAAAATCATACACTATGACCAAGTGGGCTTTATCCCAGGAATTCAAGGATTCTTTAATATCCACAAATCAATCAATGTAATACACCACATTAACAAATTGAAAGATAAAAACCATATGATTATCTCAATAGATGCAGAAAAAGCCTTTGACAAAATTCAACATCCATTTATGATTAAAACTCTCCAGAAAGCAGGAATAGAAGGAACATACCTCAACATAATAAA